TGGTTATTAGTCTTGTTCGATTATGATCACACAAGTTTTCTTCGATTCTCAAATGTCTTAGCTCTTAGAGTAAATAAATTATGCTCTATTGGTGTAATCCTACTATAGCCACAGATTTCTTAAACAACCATTTATTGAAGTACAATATAATAACTCCTTTAGTATAAAAGGAATGACATGTCTTATCTTAGTCATCCACCTACCTTCATTAGATTCTTAGTACACCCAACAAATTGCCCATGTACAACCCTTTACTAGGTCCATTGAAATGAGTGTCAAAATACATAAATTTTTCAATGAGATAACCATGATGACTTCAAATTTAGGAACCAATTGTACCCATCTTGTATGAGATTCTCATAGACTAAACCAAATGGGTTCTCATGATGAGTCAAGTCCAGGTGATATGCTCTCTCACATAAATCACCTAAGTGCTTGCTTTGGCATTATCATGCCAATAGATGTGAGATCTCTAACTCGTTATCATATAGCATGAGCATAACACTCATAAGTCTAACCACATATAGTCAATATCCATTCTTGACAATGCTATGACTTGGAACATTTATTAATATCATTTATATGCATTAGTGTTTGTCTCATATCTTTCGATCAATCATTAATGCAAATGCATATTATATGGACTTCTATCTAATTTTATTCAATAAATAAATATAAACAATAAGAATTAATAGAAAAACTTCTTTTATTATTAATAAAATAAATAATATAATAATACAATAACTTAAATCTATCCAAACATGGTTGGATCTTAGGCGCCTATACTAACAATCTCCCACTTGCACTAGATTTAATCGGCCATATCCCTTAATCTTAACAATCGAGTAAGGATCTTATGTTTCGAGTTGTGATAAAGACGTAGTCAAAGGGTTAGCTATATTGTCGTTAGTGTAGACTTTTTCTATCCTTATGTTAACACGACCGATAATCTTTCTAATCGGATGGTAGCATCGTAATACATGTTTGGACTATTGATAAGACCTTGGTTCCTTAACCTATGCTATAGCTTCGTTGTTGTCGCAGACATAATACTATTGGATCAATAATTTTAGGAACCACTTTAGTTAGCCATCAACCCATGTGACATTGGAAGAAATCTTTTCTTTGATTCTTTCATGCTAAAGATTTTAGTATCATATCAATGTATCTGCTCTTAGGAGACCCCTTACATTCTAAGTGGTCTATATTTATAGATCTCGATTCTTAAAGTATAGGCTATCCTCCCATGTCATACTTGGGAAAATTTTCTTTTTGGATGTCTCAAACTTTTATAGATTGCAACATGATAATGTTTAATTTTTCATGTAAAATAACCATGACTAGTAGGCTCTCACTAACCTTTTACGTACACAAGGTTTATCTTTGTTTTTATAAAAAAAGTCAAACTCTTTGATTATTTCACCAAAACATCGACTCTAATTCCTAGAGGCATGCTCGAGTCCATAAATGGACCTTTGCATTTTATAAATCTTATTTGTATGTTCTTTAGAACCATCATGGTGTGTAATCCGTACATCTTTTTCATATGTCTTTTCTAGGAGTCAATGTCTAACATTGCAATTTCATAAGTATTAGCTTTGTCATCCTTTTTAGAATACATATCATCATGTTTTTAGAAAAAAAGATCATATTCTTTTGTCATTTGAAGAATTCTCTTAAGACTTATAAAGTTCTTGTGTGTCGATTTGTAGGATACACTATAAAAAAATTGATTTTAATGACGGAATAGTGACGGATAAAATTTAGTGACGGAAACCTAAAAAATCCATTGCTAAAATTGACTTCGAATGGCTCTCCTTTTAGGTACCTAATCCATCGCTAACCCGTGGCTAATTTTGAAAATAAATCCGTCGTTAATTTCTATTGCTAATCCAATGCTAATTTTTGTCACTAATTCATCGCTAATCTGTCACTAATTTCGATAATAAATCCATCGCTATTTTGTCATTATTCCGTCACTATTTTCGAAAACAAATTTTTTCGCAATTGCTTCACTTTTGTTGACATTTTTGAATATTATTAATATAATATTTAATAATTAAAATTAATAATAAACAATCATAAGTAATCATATATATATATATATATATATGAAAAATAAAATAACATTAACAAAATCATTCTAGAATATGTTTCATAAAAAACCAACAAAACAAACAAAGTGATTGAATATTACATTACTTATCCTCGCTCGTGTAATCTCATATCCTCATCATCATCCCGTGCTCGAGTGCTCGCCTAAAGGATCAACTGGAGGTCGACTAGAAGGACCAACATATTGCTAAATGATCGACGGATCTATAGACAACTCGGATGTCCGTGCTAGCTACATTAGTAAGGATGTCATGGAATCATATTGATACTTCATGTTACAAGTAGTCTCCTTAAGCTTGATAACCTCTTCCTTAGTGGCCTCATAGTCCATCCAAAGTCGCTCGTTAACCGGATCGATCATGTATTACGATGTCGGAGAGGAGTTGTTGTCACTCGATCGAGACACATAATGCATCGATTGTGTGCTGATCCTATAAAATATTTTCTTCTTTTCCCCGACGACTGCGGGTATATGGCATTTTGGTCTACTTTTGGCTTTAAGATTCCCGCCTCCCTCCGAGCCTCAACTTCCTCATTGATTATTTGCTCCACATGATCTTGGATTAAAAAATCATAATATTATCATTACGGTATTAAAATAATTTTGAGAATAAATTTTCATATTTAATATTTGAAATTGAAAAATACTAACTTGTGTTTGCTGAGAGTGCATATCGATGAATGAACCTTCACGTTTCTTATGAGTCGTATGGAATAACTCAAAATTCGTAGGTGGGCGTCCCAATTCTATTGCCTAAAAAAAACATTACAAATAATATGACAAGTTCCAAATTGATATGTTATGACATAAGTAAATAATAATAGCATGTAATTTACCAAGTGACATGCATGCTATCGTGAAGATATTGAGCCTCTCGTATGTCCGAAAGGACCCGAATCGGGACCACCGATCTTCGACAATCGATTACGCGATGTTTGCTACGAACGAGCCACACGATCGGGTTTCTTGAAATCAACTTGCCATGCATCCCATGCCTCTTGACTCATAAATTGAGGTCGCTTACGCATCAAGCCGATCTTGTAAACAAAGTTAGGATAACGTTTCCTTGCAAGACGCTCCTATGCCCCTCTAACAAATGGATCAATGTCGACATCCCATTTAAAATGTTTATGCACAAGGAAAAAAATTTATATAACTTATTTGATGAGATTTTTTTTTATAATTATAAAGAAAATTATAAATACGTTACATTAAATTCACTAAAGTAAAAGTCTTTAGTGACGTCGGGGACATCCTGTCATAACGATCCTTTCTTCTCCACCTGTTCCTTAAAAATCTTATAAAGATCTTCATAGAATAATCTCTACTATCTTGAGTCAATCTATTAAGCAAATAACAAAACGATGAAACAAATATTTTAAACGTAATTATTAATGAAATTACATATTAAAAAAACAAATACATACGATCCGTATTTGACGAAACAATACGTTGCCGAACGGATGAGGTGTGAGAACTCTCGGAGTGTCAAACACGTGTGTGGAGGGGCCACTCTCGGAGCTCGACGATGGAACCCCCGGTGCGGAAAGAGGAACACTCGTCGATGCGGATGTGCTAGCTTCATGAATACGAAGGCGTGGAATCCACGAAAAATCCTGTGGAAGGAGACCCACGACCGATACCGATAGGAGATCCTAATGAACTACCATCCGACGGTGATGTTCGTCCACGATTATCGAACGTTATCCGACAGGCGCCTTCGAGGGACGATGCAAACCATGATTATGAAGTCATTGCTGTATGATCTACCATGAAACAAAAAAACACAATATAACAAATATATTGTTAGAGTCCATTCATGGGTAAATAAATTAAAATGCATCATTTGTTATGGATATAAAACAATCAAAATATACAACAAACATTTACCGAATGTAGAAAAACCAAAATTAATAAATTAATAAAGAGAAAAAATTATATTTCTTATTAATATAACAAATGAAATATAAATTTAATTCGAACTATCGTAATAATTGTTTAAGTTATCATCTTCGTCATCTATAACATTGTGACATTCATTTTCTTCGTTAGCCACACCTATTTCTATTTCTACAAATGATCCATTTGGATCATTTAACAAAGTGATGTACTCGACTTCGTCTATTAATTCATGTCGATTTTCCAGATCATCCTGCTGAAATGGTTCAACATTTTGTTCTATGGTAGCTGATGATTCAGAAAAGTCAAACACAGACCTAACTTTGATCTTACACACTGCCCACCAATATACATAAGCTTTAAATAACCATTCCCTGGCTTCTTTCAGTTTTGGAGGTTTGGCTGAGCAAACAATAATTAAAATATAGTCAACTGGCTGTTAGGTATTGGAAGGGAAAACATTGCTAAATAACTAATTTACACAGGAAAACATATTACTAACGAGGAAAGAAAGGAACATGTAACCAAGTGCTAGAACAAGAAAAAAGAAGCATGCTGCATAACCGATGAATCAGAATTAAGTACAAATCTGGAAATGAATCTTAGTTCTTCAATTCACTGACTTCTTATTTTAAATGTAAGGCATCAGTATCAATTCCCCAAATCGATATACTCTTCCAATAAGAAATCAATAAAGATGAACCTTTAAATTTTTAATTTTAACATGATCCACTTCTACATGATACTTGTTACGGAAGATTAAGGTTATAGCCACAGTAAAAGTGAACATATTATAGAAAGTTCTTCAGAAATCTAGGAACAGTTATCTAGCTGCTTCAGCTAAAACAAGGATTATGGACAATTACCTGAACCAAATCTATTTTGTTCTTGAAGCATACTAACCCAAACATCTATGCTGATGAGGCACGTGGTAGAGTTCGAGAATAAATTTTTTTATCAGAGGTGGCTGCATCCTCCACTTTTGTTATGATTGAAAAACCAGCCTTGCATGGAGAACAGGCTGAAATTCTTCTCCTGGATGCCTACATGAATCATCAGCAGCAGCATCAGAAGAGAACTTTTCAACCGTAATCATCCAAAGGGTAAAGATAAACACATCAAAGTAGACAAATGGCACCTGAGTTCTAACAATCCAAAAAACCAAACCTAAAGATGTTTGAGACAGTTTGTATAGATAACTCACTATCCTTCCCTTCATTTCAGGGGAAAATATTAATTTGGGTCACCTGTATTTTCAGATGACAAACGCATCTCTTCAAAAGCAACTAGACAGAAGAATGTCTGAAAACTGAATTTAGCAAGAAAACTGATACGGTACAAACTACAAACATGACAGGACCGCCTAGTGTTTGGTCCATTATATGTGTCACAAGTCACAATCACTGAATCAATTGTCTTCTATATGACATTTAAACAAGTTTATTTAACAGAATGATGTAAATGCATACCATGTAATCAGCCCATTCTTGGATTCATGAATAACAAAATCAATGACCACATGGCAACACACCTCTGGTTGAACTAAATTCTGTCCAACATATAACACATGATAACTCTGCTGGAGTAGGTAATCTGGCAACACATTCAAACTGATGCACATCTTTAACCTTTGCATTTCTATTCTCAGCAGCAGAGCCAGAGCCATTCTAGCATTATTGATTATCTTCCAAGCATTTTCCATGTGTTACTCGCTCCATCCTCTAATGCTTGTTTGTAATTGCCATCCTTGTACATCTGATGCGCAACCACAACCCAAATTGCAATCTATATCTTTGAAAAATCAAGAAAACTCATTTTTCCATCAAAATAAACAAAGAAAGAGCCAAATACATGGCAGTCATCAAAGAGGATACCTTTAGAGCAAGGATGGAAAAGGGAAGAACATTTATCTACCCAGGCCAGCTTAATTACAATCTGGGTGGTTGTGGGCTGTCTCATCAGAATCTGGGGTGCAGAACACTGAGCTATCTACAAGTTTCTATACAAAAGCATAACGCTAAGAGAAAGGAAAGGAAAGGAAAGGAAAGGAATAGAAGAGAAGAGAAGAGAACCCAGTGCTGAAACAAGAAAAAGAATCATACCACGAACAGTTATAGCATTTCATTTGATGAACAATATAATGCATCAGAATCAAAGCCCCAAATTGATAAAGTTTCTCCCATGACCTGCTTCACCTATCCTCTTAAATGATTAAACTGCAACAAGAACTGCCAGAACTTTTCCTGCAAAACAAAATTTAAAGAATGTCAAATGCTAATTGCAACTAACATTCCCAGATCCTTGTAAAGACAATTTGGCAATAAGACCTCCAAAAAAAAAGAAACCACTTTCTTTAATTATTAATAGAGGTAAAAAAAGGATGATGGACAAATAACTGAGGCAGCTGCGGTCATACTGAGTTTATTAGATGTTTTACGTCCTCAGCCATCTCCTCTGCCACCACGTATACCATCAATACAACCACCATAATATCTGCACAACTACCTCTGACACGAACAGTATGCTTCGGACTTACTCATAAACAGCAATGCTACACTCTAATGCTTAGGGTGATCAGTAATTGCCAGCCTTATTCATCTGATGAGCAACCACAAGTCCACAACCACATGTCAAATGAATTACTTATTCAGTGATAATTATAGGATATATAATAAACAGATAGAAGAAAAGGAAGTAAAAATAAAAAAAGAATTGAAATATATATATAAAGGCTTACCACAATTTTAAAAGAAGAGATTAAAAATTCAACAGTTAAATTAAAAGTTAAATTAAATTCTTCAATAAATAAATAAATAAAGGATATAAAGAAGTTTGAAATGAAAGGATGGAAATATACCTAAAATCGCTTCAAAATAACAGTCATTTCCTGTTTCAGATTCTGCACCTATTCAATTCATTTCCTGCATACAAAGAAGAAATGAAAAATAAATTAAATTACTATTTGGGAAGAAATGAAAAATAAAGAAGCTGAGGGGACAAGATGATGAGTTGAGAGAGATATTTCAAAAATTAATTCAAACTTACCGATTCTCGTTGTACATATATGTCATCCATAAGGATTGTTGGGATATGAGAAATCTTGGGCCACTCAGGCCCATTGTCCTTCCTACAATTTTCTGAAAGAAGCGGACAATTATAAATCATTAACTCCTTTCATTTGGAGAGGCATTGCATGGCGGTTGAACTTGGTAGATACTTGAGATTCTTGCAATAATCGATACGAAGAGTTCTAAGGGATGAAAGGTTGCCCAACCAATCTGGCAAAGCTTCCTCAAATGCCTCTCCATTGAAACTAGATAGAGTCAATTCCTTAAGGGCAGTGAGGTGTTGAAGTTGATGTGGTACACTCTTCAGTTTATCCCATCCATGTATATACAGGTCTTCAAGGGACCCACTCATGTGTTGGATTGAATTCATCGCTCCTGCAGGAAAAGCCTCCAGCTCCAAGAAATCACCAATAATCAATATCTTCAATTGGGTGAGGCAGCAGAAGCAATCCTCTGGGAAATAAGTCAAACTCTCACAGTCGATGATTTGCAATTCAACGAGAGATGTGCAGGACTGTAGCCAACTTGGAATAGCTGTTAATTCACAACCACGAATGTACAATCTCTCCAGAGGACATTGCAATTCTCGAAAATCACCTGGAATTGAGATCAACTCCGGGCAGATAGAAATATTCAATTCCACCAGAGCTGTGCAGTGTTGTATGCTTGGAATGGATGCCAGCTTTAAACATTTTGATATTTTCAAATATCTAAGAGATTTGAAGCCATGAAATTCTCCAGATAAATAACACATTTCATAACATCTAGAGATACCAAACTCTACAAGAGATGAAAGATGACTTATCGGAATGCTTTTCAACTTATCACACCTCTTCATCTTCAACTTTTCAAGACAAGGAAATACTTGATCACCTTCTCCTCCTGGTGCCATCCATTCTTCAAGACCATCCATACCCTCCAGAGTGAATTCTTTTAATGCTGGAAAAAGTATTGTTGCACTGCTATTGCTACCATAAAACTCATTGTCTATACATTTCACACTACCCATTTCTCTTATCGCTAAAATTTTAAGGCGAGGAAGACATCCAAGTGTTGGGAGTTGTCTGCACTTGCTGCAATATCTCAATTGCAGCTCCATTAAATTATTGAGTGACAATATTGAAGTCCATGATGGGAAATTTTCACCCATGTAATACTCAATGCTCAAGCTTCTTATGTCTGGGTGAGGCTGGAGACCATCTAACACATCCTCGTCATTAACATTGCACCTGCTTTCTATCTCTGAATTCCAACCAAATACCAGTTTGTTCATTTTCTTCTCGTGCAGTTTTGCCTTCTCAGCTTCTTCCTTGTCTCTTACATGCTCAAGCTTCTCTATCGTCAAGTTTCCTCTTAGTTCAGTCAAATATCCCAACTCTTCAATTTTATGGCCTCTATCTGAACCCACAGCAAAAATTGGCAATGTTTGAAGGCACGTTAAAAATCTCACCTCAGCTGGCACTTGGAAACCAAAACTAAAATGAAGATGTCTCAAGCTGACTAAATTTCTCATTTTCTTGGGAAGTACCAAGAAACAAACACAGAATCCTAATGTCTGCAAATGGTAGAGCTTTGTGATGGATTTAGGTAATGCTTTGATTTGAGTATTTGAGATGTCAAGATATCTCAAATGTCTCAACTTGCAAATTGAGTCTGGTAGCTCAGCGATATCAGCCCCTCGCAAGTTGAGAGTTCTCAAACTTTTGAATTTCAATGACAGATTTCGTACGTTGATCATTGAGAAAAAAGTGTGCAATTTCCTTGCATCAATTGCTGAAAATGTTGATTCAACACTCTCACAAGAAATGAGATTTAGATGACGAGTGTGAGATGCACCATTGACAGCTGAACCAACCTCCAGAGTTAACGTTTCTGATTTTGAAACCAGTAATGCAAGATCATGCACAAGATCATGCATCTTGCAACTTGTTATGATCTCATACCTATCCTTTTGAACATCTTGGAAAAAGGAATTTGCAAGCAAGTCGTTGAAATACTTGTTACCTATGTCTTCCATCCTCCCATGTGGTGGCCCAAGAAAACCTTCACTCATCCACAGTTGAATTAGCTTTTCCTTTTCAATGTTAGAATCTTTAGGAAAAATGGAACAGTATGCAAAACATTTCTTCAATGATGGTGATGACAAGTAATCAAAACTTAATTTTAATATCCGCAAAGCTTTATCTCCATCCTCAGAATCCCAAATTTTACTACTTAGAATTGACTGCCACTCCTTTGTCTCCATTCTGCGCAAAGTTCCTCCTACAACACTGGCAATTAGTGTTATCCCTCCACATTTCTTTGCAATCTCCTTTCCAATAGCATCCAACTCTGAATTTACCAACACTCCTCCGCTCCCACCCATTTTCTTCTTGATAATGGACCAACACTGATCATCTGATAGCTTCCCAGGTTCATGCCCGTAATCCAGGGAAGATTCCATCATCTCTGCGACTTGCTTGCTGCGGGTTGTAACAACAACAGCATTCCCATTCTTGCCATTGATTTTTAACAGTTGCTCCTTCAACCTATCCCACTTATCATGGTCTTGATTCCACACATCATCAAGTACAAGAAGAAATGTTTTCTTTTCAAGCTCCTTTTTAAGGTTTTCAAGAATTGCATTTAGATTTTTTAACCCACCGGTAGTTTTATCAAGAGTTTGCAGCACTTCTCCCAAAATCGTGACTTTATTAAAATCATTAGAAACACAAACCCATATTGTTGCATCGAAAAGTTTTCTGCCCTGTGCTTCTTCACAAACTTTTTTTGCTATAGTAGTCTTTCCGATACCTGCCTTCCCCACAATAGGGACAACAGAAAGAACTTGTTGGTCAATAAAGCTAATCAGCAATTCCATGACTTTAGAGACATCATCCTCCCTTCCTATCACAGCTTCTGAGCTGTCAAGGAAGGAGTCTGTCTCTCGGTCCAAGCTGACCTCAGAAGCTCTGTCTACATATTGCATAGATGTAAGCCCAAAGCCAGTTGCAAGTTTCTGAATTTCATCGAGGGCTTCATTGATCCTCTTAACTTTTTGACCCATATTCAAACGGAATGCAACAAGGTTGTGTTTCGAAAAGAAGTCACATACCTGCTTTCCCTTCATTTGGTCTTTGCGAAGAAGCTCATAAGCAAACTCGTCTAGAACATCTTCAGCATCATAAGCTAGGTCTTGAAGCTGCTCTAGCCAAAGCTTCACAGACTCGTCTGTTACTGGCCTTCTGGCTGCATCTTGGAGCACAGCTTTGATCATGGTCAAGGACTTGATGAGCTTTTGCAATTGCCCGTTCAATCCCCAAGCAAGTCTGATCCCTTCGGCAGCAATGGAAGCCACCTTTGTCAAAGTCTCCTCCAAGGCAAACGTGAGAAAAAACTCTGCTGCCATTTTTGTCTTGTCTTGTTTGGGAAATGAAAGAAGAATAATTGAGTAGCAGAGAGAGAAAAGTAGGGTTTGAAAGTGGTGAAAGAACGTGGGTACTGAGAAGAAAAGGATTAGGCATTGTGAGTCAGAATTGGGTCCCTGTAGTGCCATTATCGTCCTGCAAAGGCCTTGAAACCCCCCTTGCTTATTATGACAGGAGGACCAAAGCGTCTACCAATTAACAGTTTCCCACCTTTCTTTTGAGATAAT